GTTTCTCTTGCTTCTCAAGTGTTTTTCAACTCCCACCGTGTTTATATCAGAGGACAGAGACACGTTTTATATTTCTTTTATAAAATTTTTCGAGCGAAAAGAAAATTTTGCCGGTAAGCCGTGTTTTAGGCTCAGTCTCCAGCCGTCGGGATTTCGTGCGCCCGCGATACTCTCTCCCCTGACGGCTGGGCGCATGGGGTTCGAAACGTGTCGCGCATGTCCGTGACGTTTTTGTGTAATTAGCATATTATGACGTAACGGAAGTGAATTTTTCAGTGAACGGAAGTGAAATATCTGACAACAGCCGTAAAGGTTTTGCTACAAGGCGGGAAATTATGTGAAATGAAAACTTCGCGAAGTAGCGATATAATGTAATAGTTAGCGCTTTAAAAAAGAGAAAGGAATGGAAATTACCCCAAGTAAAACATGTGCAGGGTTTAATAATCCAAATGGATGTATTATCTGCCAGAAAAACGAGCAAAATACACTAGTGGCGCTGTTTGAAAAATAAGAGATTTGCCCGAGCCAGTATAGGAAGAATAACAAGGACATCTTTTCCAAGAACAATCTCTTTAAGAGCCTTTTGCTGTATTTCTCTAAATTCGTCCAAGCTAAACGACTTCAGAGCCTTCAAACAAGCACTTTCAAAGAGAATCTCAAACGACGAATTGTACGCCATTTTGTTACACTGCTGCCTGCTAATTTATTAATGATATGCCCCTGAAAATATCGGGGGCCACTCGCTGATTGGTCAAGACTGACAATAGCGAACCCCATGCGCCCAGCCGTCAGGGGAGAGAGTATCGCGGGCGCACGAAATCCCGACGGCTGGAGACTGAGCCTAGCCGTGTTTCTGTCCTCTGATATAAACACGGTCGTCAGCCAATCAGAGCSCGCGTTATATATCAAAAATTTTATAACATGCTTTTTGACCGATTTCTTTGCTTCCTTCTCTTGCATTAACTTAACTATCTACGTTATTCATAATTAAACATCCCTCGGAAGACAAAAGAAAAGTTCGTTGTGGGAAATGAGTAACAATGGTCGGATTACCAATAYTATTTTGTACTGTTCTTTGAAAACCTTTTCAATGACACAAGTACTTGATACATTGCGCATCGATTCTTTTCATGTCACATTCCAATTCATGCATGAATTGTTTGTTGTAATGCTTATAGTACTTCTGATTGAAAACGTTGGAGCATGCAAAAAAACAAGAATCCAAATTCGCTCAAAATTAAGGTATATTTACTCAAGTTCAACATCAATTTTTTCCCGGACTCGAACTTAGTCACACTGGACTTTTTAAAGGAAAAAGTTAGTTTAGTTTACTTGTGTAGTTTATTTGATATTCAGCAGGGAAATTGTGGGGGTGATAAAATGTGCACTCCAACCAAAAAGACAATGATTTTTCTCAAGATTCCGCTTTATTTTGCACACGGAAAAATAAAGGGTTTATAGGTTAATGATTAAATAATCTCAAAGGAAAGGCTTTTTTTCTAAGACCTAAAATATATAAAATATATACAAAAAATGAATTTCGCTGCATAAAAATCATTAAAAAGTCGTTTAATTCCAAAAATTATACGTTCAACATACATTGGTTCATAGAATTTTTCATTAAGCCAAAAAAATGAGACTGAAAATAATCACCTAGTTATTGCGAAACGTTCATCTCCATCTAGTCTTGGTATAAAAATTTCTGACATTGATAATAATTCTGCTGCAATGCACTTTGCGATCAACAGCGACGGTGCATTAAGCCATTACCCAGTGCAATTGCGTTAACATAATGGTATACACTCTTTGACTAAACGTTGTCTTTGATCAGTATCATCTCTTCGCGCCTCGACCGAAAAGGATTAAGGGTAAATCGACATGAATAATTTCTTGTCCACTATCAGTCGGTGACAATTTCACAATGGAAAGCAAGACGAGCCTATATACATCATATTCCATCAGGGACAATGTCCAAATAGTTCACTTATTATATTGAAAGGAGATCTTGTAAACCCAAAACTTGCGTCATCCTAACAGCTCACCAGCGAAAATCTTCGACGTATGCTAGGGGCATGGTTTTAGCAATTCAAATAGAAACTCAARACGTATTAGATAATGTGGCAGCCAATACATTACATCAGTACTTTCGGAGAATGCGTCCGCCATCTTGAAAAGTGAGACCCGAATCACTATGTTGACCCTTACGATACATTTCGTAGTTGCTAAGTGAACTACTCTATCATTATATCATATATTACATTAACTCGACATAAGCTGAGAAGCTTAGGAATTATAATTTAGTGATTCGAGTCCCACTTTTAAAGATGGCGGACGCATTGTTCTCAGAAAGTGCTGATGTTTTGACTATCCCCATAATCCTTTTCGGTCTAGGCCCGTATGATGAAGCGGATCAAACTACAACGATAACGTAAATGACTCTATCTAAAGCATGTTTGTGACAAATCCTAACTAAGTTGAAMTAGGACAGACCATTATTTAAGTTAAGTTCAAACAGGTAAAAATGGTACTCACTCTTTGGCTTCGACTTATACGAAACATCCAACTTTTATTTTCTTTCTTTCTTTTTTTTACAGAATACAAAAAAAATAATAGCAACGCGTGTACTTTTTAGCTATTCATTAACATGGACCGGCCACCCTAAATTTAGAATCTATTAACCACATTCATTGTACATCTAGAACATCATGTGGTAGATGTTAGGGTGATTTATCAGTAAATTACTTCTTGATCACGCTTGCTAGGCATTTAATTCACATTTCGTAGTTGACGTCTAGAGACTCTTGAATTTCATCAACGAGGTGGTGGTGGAGGTGGGGGTGCCCCTCTCATTGGAGGAGGCGGTGGTGGTGCACCTCGCGATGGAGTGGAAGATGCTCTTTGATTTGAACCTGTAAGAAAGATAAAGATGCAATCGATAAGTTGGAACCAAATCAGTTATTTACAGTACTTCTCATAATTATTCACGAGGCATCCATCCCTGATTGTAATTTGTACCACTTGCAGTAATATGCAATAAGGAAAAAAAACAAACAAAAAAAAACACTAGCTCTATTTAGAGGCAGCATTTAACTATGGTTATATGCACAAAATAAGTTTATAAGCTTAAGGTAGTACACAAGTACACAAAAAAATCATAAGAGGCGTTCTCTGCCAATCTAGGCGTTCTCTGCCAATCTCGAGCGCAGAGTCTTCACGACTAATGTCAGCGCCATGCTGACGCCGGAAAGACTGGGGTAATCGACTGGATTTGCGACACTTTTCCGTCGCAAATTATGCACACTAGTTCAATTTTTTTTTTGCTTTAGAGCATTAAAGTTTTAGCACACAACTTAGTTGAGCATCGAGAAGATATGATGTATTAATTTTATTGAAATTTGGCGTAACTAAACAATWAAAAAGGCWTTTCTGCTCGTGACAATAAAAATATATTTGATAGATCTTGTGACTTTTTTCTCTACAGCGATCTGCAACAGTTAAGATTACAAAATCATTCTTTCATTTGAAACGCCCGAGGACTAGGCTGTATATTATTGGAAACATATTTGATTTGAGAGCAAATGAGCAAAGGTTACTTCGTATCTATTATCAAACAAAGTTGAAAGTAATTTCATAATTTTTAACGAAAGTATTTCGAAAACGTTTCATGGTGGTCTTTCTGATTTAAAGCACAAATTAAGATTTGATGGCTCTTGCAAAAGAAGTCCTGTCGGGGTAAATACACTTAATAAAATCCTTCCAGATAACTTGTGTAAACAGGCTGGCATTGAGATCTCAAGAGATCAAATGAAGAATCATCGACTCAACAACTTCAACAGATAAAGATCCGACGTTCAAAAAGAAGTTCATACTTCGTAGAGATAGAAAAATACCCCAACCAGTATGAATTTGAAATAGAAGAAAGGCCTGAATGTGAACCACTTAATTTAAAGATCAACTACGAACATGATTCTGTATCCAGGGGGATTAAAGGCGAAGGCTTGAACAAACGAAACGAAGTGTTTTACGAATTATTGCAAACATCTATGATCTAATCGGATTTCTATCACTAATTATTATACCTATGAAATTACTCTTTCAGGAACTTGGTAAKCGTGAATGGGGCATCCAACTGTCAGAAGAAGTGTGGAAGAAGTGGATAAAGGATCTCAAGACTTTAAATGAAGTCAGAKTAAATCGGTATTGTCTACTGAATTGATCTTTACGTCTCAATTGAGCTGCATGCCTTTTGTGCTGCGAGCATGAAGGCCTATGCAACTGTCATTTATATACGCATTGGATGTCATAGTGAGATAACTACATCACTGATTGCTTCAAAGACACGTGTGGTACCTTTGAGAGAGGAAGAAATAAAGAAATTGCTTCGTTACTTCGTAACCAATTCAACTAATATAAAACCAAGATTGTGAATCTCGAGAATTTGATTACACCTTATACAGTGCATCTTCATGACTGTTACGGCTATAGTATACACCGAGATTTGTAAGAACTGTAAGAACATGTCAAAGAAAGTCAACACTCTAACAGGAGCCAATATTGCAACAGAGATGCAAAATGCTGAAACGTTGTGGTTTAACTTTGCAATGATCAATTATTTAAAGTTCAACCAATTACAGATGTCCTTGGAACTTTTCTTTGATGACAATTAACTTCTACTTTGCAGGGAAAGACTGGCAAATGCAATTATGTTTGACTCTGAGAGCGATTTTGGATTGTCAAAGGACGCCAACAGTTAAGAAATTTACCAAGGTGTTGTTTGTCGACGATTTGAAGGCAATGTCTATGAAGACACATGGAAATTTATCAGAATTAGACTTTCTACACAACATCCATTCACATATGTATATTTTGAAACAATATCATAAACAATTACCACCTCAAGGAAGAACAYCAGCCATTCAGCTTGATGATGTTGTTTGTGTTCATGATAAATTGCTCGAGTAAAAGAAATCATTTTTGGAAATGATGGTCAGCCTTGAGGAGCTTCAAGAAAACCTGTTGCTAAAGAAGAACAGAAACCTAACACACCAGGACCTAAAGGACATGCAGCTATTACAAGAGAAGTGAAGAGGCGTGAACTGARACATTATGCGAACTTTAGCGAAATGGACTTTTCTTATTCATTGCTAGAATAGATATCATAACAGATTGACAGAATTGTTCGCAGCGAAGAAACGAGAGGACTATGCTACCTTTGGRTGCTGYCCAAAGTCTCTTTCGCCATACTGAAGTCAGCTYTTCTCAGAGGATTATAACAACTAGAACATTAAGAACTAATATCCAAGAATTGACTTTGACATAGATAGATGTCGC